CAGCTGCAATTTGCTCTGCTAATTCCTGCTATGTGCTCAGCCATTCGCTGGGTTTTAATCTCTTTAATTCAGGGTTGTATTTTCCTCTCTTCTGCACATCTCAGTGCCTGATGACAGAGCACTSAGAGCTCCCAGGAGTTTCACCAGCCAGGTCTCAGAGGCTTTTGACTTTATGGTCCTGGAAAAATGTTTTGTTCACAAACAGAAAAAAAAAAACCAAAAAAAACCAGAGCACATTGGAGTATTTTCGTGTATTGGACTTTGATTCTTTGGTTGCTCCTAGAAACCAGATCCTCCAAGATTGATTTTTATTATCTCCAGACATGATTTGCCTTGGAATCRATACAATAATGTAAAATGTCATTGCAAATAGAGGACATTGATCTGAGATGCATTTATTAACTCCCGCTGATAAAAGCCAAAATGGAATTGGTAAACATGCTGGTATTCAAAAAAAAAAAAGGAAAAATTAGTCCCAAATGCTCAAGTTAGAGTTCATCTGCAGGAAAAAATACATCTTAAAATCTTGTAAAGGAAATGGTTTATGCAGGTAAGGAAAAATATATCTGGATTTTTATCATGTAACACTAATCTAAGAGAATTAAGTAATTAGCTGGTTAATCAAACTGGAAATTACTGCTTATCTGCCCAGGTCCTCGTAAGGAATATTTCCAACAGACCTTCCCTGCTTAGGCAAAGGAGGGAAGGGGAGAGGGACATGGACTGCAGACCTTGAAACAGGCTGAAATTTGGAGTTTATGATCTTGGAGCCTTTTGCAACCTTGATTATTCCCTGATTGTGCAGGATTTTTTACCACATTCCCATTACATTCCTAGCAGCATGGAAGTGAGAGCTTGAGTGAGCTGAAGGCAATGCTGGAAGAGGAAAGGAAGGAACAATTCTTTGGGAATTTCCCTTAGAAGTTGGACAGTCTGAAAGATTTGGGGACTGTGGGGAAAGTTCTGATTTCTTCAGGGTTTTTATGCTGGAAAAAAAGTGTCAAAGTCTGAGTGTTCCTGCTCCTCTGACCTCCTCTGTGTGCTGATAGATGGCAAAATAAGCATTAGGTGCACCCATCCTTGGAAATGCTGATATGATCCCTTGKTTTTTAATCTCTGGATGCTCACTTGCACCGATTTGAGACCAACAACAGGAGCTGCATCTCCTGAGCCGTTTTTTATTTGAGCCAAACTCTCCGTGCTCCTTCATCAGCCGGGGCTGGCAGAGAGCAAACAACATCCTGTTGTTTGCTGAGGATTTTGCAATCCTGCACTGCAAGGCTTCTCCGAATCCATCCCCGGGATGCTGAGYGCCTCTGACACGGGCAGCTCTGGCMAAACCCCTGCGGGCAGCGGCAATTYCGCTGACGGGCACCAAATCCGCGACACCGCGCCTGCTGCATCATTCAGAAGCTGCTCGGCGCTGACCTATTTTTTTCAAGGAAAAAACAGCGTTATCTGTGAGTGTCAGGCTGTGCTGAGGTTCGTGTCGCGCCGCTGGAGCCGTGTCCCACCCCTTTGTGTCCCGTTCCCCCGGGTGATGTGACACGGAGCGGACCCGCGGGTGCGACAAGGGTCCTAAAGGAACAATCCCTGCTGATGGACACAGGGGGATGGCAGAGCCGGGGGATGGATGGGCTCCTTGGGACCCTCCGGCCCTGCCCTCAGTGTCTGCAGCCCGGGAATGCATGCCAGCAGCTCAAAAATGCATCTCAGCAGTCTGAAAATGCGTCCCAGCAGCCGGGAATGCATCCCAGCAGCCAAAAATGCATCCCAGCATCCCGGGAATGCATCCCAGCAGCCAAAAAATGCATCCCAGCGGTGAGAGAATGCACCCCAGCAGCCCGGGAATGCATCCCAGCAGTCGAGAATGCATCCCAGAAGTCGGGAATGCATCCCAGCAGCCCGAAAATGCATCCCAGAAGTCGGGAATGCAACCCAGCAGGCTGAAAATACATCCCAGCAGTCGGGAATGCATCCCAGCAGTTCGAAAATAAATCCCTGCAGGTCGGGAACGCATCCCAGCAGTAAGAGAATGCATCCCAACAGTCCGAAAATGCATCCCAGAAGTCGGGAATGCATCCCAGCAGCCAGGAATGCAACCCAGCAGGCTGAAAATGCATCCCAGCAGCCGGGAACGCATCCCCGCATCCCACAAGCACCGGGAGATGCAGGCGGCGCTCGGGGCTGGTGATGGGGAGATGGGAAGCAATTCCAGCCTTCCCAAGGATGGGAGGYGCAGCTCGGCTCCTTTTCCTTCAAGGAAAGAGGCAAACTTTGGTAAAATCTGTTGTAGGATAAACCAAAGCCATGTGATCAGCCAGAAAGGCCCCAAATTCTCGGCTCTGCGCTGCAGCAGCGAAGCCGAGGRAGGTGGCGCAGGAAAATCGGGATTTAAGGCGGGACTAAGGGAGGTGAGACAAACTCGGGTGACCTCAGGACACCCCAGCAGGGACACTGAGGCACGGCTGGGCACCCGGTGTGGTGTGGCTGTCAGGGTTTGTGTGAGACCCATCCCCGGGAGATTTCGGGCTGCTCGGAGCCCTCGGCTCGGTTGGCGGGCGGGGAAAACCACGGAAAATTGGGAAAACCGTGGAAAAGAGGGAAACGCCACCTGTGTGACACAAAGAGCATCCTCTGAGAGTGGAGGAGAGGCAGGGACGATGAGAAGGAGCTGCGGTGCTTCCCGAGCCGTCAGTGACACCTACAGACGGTCCCGACCAGCGCGGCTCCGGGGACGGGGACGGGGGAGAATCGGGTGCGATTTGGGGAAAATTCCCCTCTGGAAGGGCAAAGCTGCAGTCCCACCCCACAGGGTTGAACAGATGTGTGGGTGTGACACCTGGGGACACGGGGCAGTGGTGGCCTTGGCGTGCTGGGGAGTGGTTGGACTCCTAAAAGGTCTTTTCCAACCTAAAGGACTCCATGACCCTAAAAGGTCTTTTCTAACCTAAATGACTCCATGACCCTAAAAGGTCTTTTCCAACCTAAATAATTCCATGATTCCATGAACCCTGCAGGCACTCAGTTCCTTCAGCATCTGCAGGGGCTGTGCTGAGCTGCTCTGGCCTTCAGCAAACACCCCATTTCTTTATATCCTTTATATTTTTATAGACTATAAATCCTAGAATTCTATTATATTTAATATTCTGTATATTTCTATAAACCTATATTGTTCTARCTATATTCTGGAMTATAAATATTAYRTAAAGAACAGAAATATATAATATATCCTGCAATACAATTTCCATAATATGTTTACAGTATAATTGAATGTATCTCTAGAATACAAATTATACACTAAAAATCTATTCCAGAATGTATTCTATATTCTCAAATTCTATACAATTACATATTGTATTCTGTATATTTAAAGTCTTTATACTCTTCATTCTTTACATGTTTATAAATACCTAAGAAATAGTAAATGAATGAATAATTTAATTAATTCTCATAGCACTTACCGTGGTTGTTGTAAGAATTCCTCTGTCTGGTCAAAAATGAACACAAAATACAAATGAATTAAATTTCTCCAGGATGTTACAGCCAAGTCCCCGAGGACTTGCTCTGAAATCTCTATAGACAGCAACAAAATCTTTTTCCCCACCACCTGTACACTTCTGATAAGGCTGAAAATCCAGGAAGAGCTTTGCATCCCCTGGATTTTGGTGAGTAGCTCTGCCCTGTCCATATCTGTGCTGCTGTATCTTTATTATTTTAGCAGAGAATTAAGCAGTTGGGCAATAGGCTCTGGAAGGAGTAGTTCAGGTTTTGGTGTCGTGTACCAGAAATTGAATAATGCTGGTATTATTTTAGCATGACAGCTGTGCAGAGTAGATTTTTGGAATAAGCAAAAATATCTRTCTCTATATGATTTTCAGACTTTTGCTCTCATTGTTAAGCAATATTTTTTCTCCTTTTCATTTCCTCTGAGGCCCTGTAGAAAAAAAAAAAAAATTGCTGCATTTTTGTCAACAGAAATGGAAGAGAAATGTTAACTTTAGAGGCAGAGGGAATTCACAGGCACAGACGAGGAGCTGGAGTCTGCATAATGTGTCGGGGCTCATCTTTCTGTGCCACCACTCTGCTCATGCTGGAGTGAAAAATAGACAATTAAGGCAGYGGGAAAGGAGCTGTGGAGCTGMGKYTGTGGGGAAGGGATCATCCTGAAGSCACRGGAGCTGCTGTTTGTGTTTAACAGGCAGAATTTGCTGTGTCAAACCTGGGTTTGGGGGCTTCCCTTTGAGAATGTCCTGGTTAGGAGCTTTTCTTCTGCTTCAGCCCCTAAAATATCCTGGTCTGACACCACTTCAGGGGTTTGGGCTCCGTGGAGGGGAAGGTTCTGGTGGTTTCACTCATCATTTGTATTTACTTTTTATTCTGGAATATAAATATTACATAAAGAACAGAGATATATAATATATCCTGATCATATATATATATATATGTATATATCATATATATATATATATTTTCTCTTTGCACAAAGAAAGGATCTGAAATGTGAGACCATCAGAGAGCAGCCAGTTCTCAACAAACATAAAAACAAACAATAATCTCAGCCTAATCTTTGCCTTTGCAGGTACAACCAGATTTAAAACTCCTGGTTTTAATACACCATTTTCATTCCAGTTTTGGAGATTTTACATTTAATTTAAGAGCAGCAGAATAATTTTTTTATAACCATGGTGAGCAACTTATGAAAGTGAAACAAACCTTTGAAATGATCAGATTCAAATAAGAGAATCTCTGATAAAAAGTTTTAATCAAGTCTTTCAGATGTGGTGCACTCTTTTCCAGGTTTTTCTTGTCTCCTTCGAGAGGATGGTGGCTGGAAGAGGATTTTGGAGTGTTTGAATTCAATAACTAAAGAAAGGATAAACCCAAAGATGGAATAATTCACTTTTTGCTTTAAGGACCTTCCTAATCTCACATCCCTCCAGTCTCTGCTCCTCAGAACAGCAATAATCCATTTTTCCCCCTTTGTTTGTGGTTTGCAGATCCCACCCGGGTCATGGTGTCCCCTTTCAGCATGGATGTCACCGTTGGGGAGAGCATTGTCCTGCCTTGCCAGGTGTCCCACGACCACTCCCTGGACATTGTGTTCACCTGGTCCTTCAACGGGCACCTGATAGACTTTGAGAAGGATGGGGATCACTTYGAGAGGGTTGGAGGGGTAAGTATCAAATCTGGCAAAAGGAACTGGATGAAGGCAGCGAGAAAAAGGAGGAAAGAAATGGAAAATTTTCAGCAGAGGTAGAAAACTGGGAAGGGTTTTTTGCTTGTTACTCTGAAGGATGTTTTAGGGAGCCACAGGTGTAGTGATAGTTCATGTTTACATTTGTCAGGAGTGAAATTTTATGCAGAAAGGAAAAGGAAATACAATTTTATTGCTGCTATCCCTCAAAAAAAAAAAGATAATTAAAAGATGAACTCCCAGCCTGATGCCCGGGGSTCACAGCAGCAGCAATGGCTTTTTGGGGTGGCTGCTCCTGTTTAGGCCCACAAAGCTAAAATCACAAACTTTATTAATATTCTTCAGACCAAAATCCATGAGGTTACCCTGAGATTTCCAATGGATCGAATGCTTTGTGTCTGGAGAGAAATTCAGAGAGGTTTTCAGCATCCAATACATCCAGAAACCTAATTAGTTCTATTCAACAGTTAATCAGACATGCACTTGGCGTTTGGAAAACAAATTACTGCTGTTGTGTGATGCAAGATTTCCTCAGAGAGTGCTGTTCTCATGATCTTTAGCACAAAAAACGCTGGGCAATCAAAATGCTGGCTGRGACACAAAGCCGTGAAACTGCTGCTGATGTCTCCAAATTTGGGCTGGGTTTYCCTTGCAGAAGAGATGGAGACACAGCCTGGACCTGAGAGGGTAAAAATGGGATATTCAGAGAGARAAATGASGAATCAGAGTAAAAATTGTCRYGTTGTTTTAATGGGGAGAGCCCCCAGTCCTGCTCCCCTGCTCCTGGAAGAGCCAGATTTGTCAGAATTCTCCTTTTCTCACCTTCCAGGCACTCTCCCATCATTTTACCAGGCCACGGCTCACATTCCTGATGTTCTCATCAGCCAGCACAAAGTAAATCCATTAGTCACAGTGTCCTTCATGTGATAATGATGTTTAGGGCTCATTAAAAAGTAATTGTAACCACTTTTCCCTACTTTATCAGCAGGATTCAGCTGGTGATTTGATGATCAGGAGCATCCAGCTGAAGCATGCAGGGAAATACGTCTGCATGGTGCAAACAAGTGTGGACAAGCTATCAGCTGCTGCAGACCTGATTGTAAGAGGTATTTGGATTTTGTTACTGTTGTTGGTGTTGTTGTTGTAACATTTCTTTTTTTTTTTTTTTTTTTTTTTTTTTTTTTTTTTTTTTTTTTTTTTTTTTTTAAGTTATTTTTTTTTAGAATAAACATGATTTAGTGGCTTCACTGATAAATCAAAACCTGTTCATTACCATGCACAGGTGATGTGTGACTATGACTGTAACAGAGTTGTAATTAATTGCCCTGAGGCTGGATCCATAGGGGAAATCTGATTTGTGTTTTCCTATTTGTTAACTTTGGGAAAAGCAAACCTGAGCGCTGCTCTGTCCCTGCTACCCTTGGTGCTATAAAAAGGAGGAATATTAAATTTTCAAAAGGAAATGACCCTCCATGATGATAAAAGTACTGATCTTATCACCTCCTAAAAACATCAAGGGTGGTAAAACATTGGCACAGGGTGCCCTGAGAAGCTGGGGCTGCCCCTGGATCCCTTTGAGTGCCCAAGGCCAGGCTGGACATTGGGGCTGGGAGCAGCCTGGGACAGTGGGAGGGGTCGATGGGATGGGATGGGATGGGATGGGATGGGATGGGATGGGATGGGATGGGATGGGATGGGATTTAAGGTCCCATAAAGCGTTCTGTGGCTCTCTGAGGTGGGAGCACTGACCCTCAGGAGGCACCCAGCAGCGATGGCTGAGGGATGGAGCCCAGGGGTCCCTCCCTGTTGGGGCTCCCTGCAGAGCTCCTCTGCTCACAGACACCCAGCAGTGAGGCAGAACATCCTGGTGTGTCCCCTCCCAGTGCCTCCAGTCCCTGCCGCTCCGCAGGGACTCTGTACGTCTGTCCCAGCAGGGAACACAGACCCAGCACTCCTGCCCCAAAGCCTCACCCAGCCCTGCTCTCAACCCCACAGGTCCCCCAGGCCCCCCTGAGGCCGTGACCATCGATGAGGTGACAGACACCACTGCCCAGCTGTCCTGGCGGCCGGGGCCGGACAACCACAGCCCCATCACCATGTACGTGGTGCAGGCACGCACCCCCTTCTCGGTGGGGTGGCAGGCAGTGAGCACAGGTAAGGMTGGCCTGGCCCCACAGAGAGCCCCACAGGTGGAAAACCCATCATTGTGCACCCACGGATGGAGAATCCATCCTTGAGCATCCACTGATGGAGAACCCACTGATAGAAAACCAATCCTTGAGCACCACTGATGGAAAACCCACTGATGGAAAATCCATCCTTGAGCACCCATGGATGGAAAACCCATCCTTCAGCACCCACTGATGGGGAATCCATCCTTTAGGACCCATGGATGGAAAACCCATCCTTGAGCACCCATGGATGGGGAATCCATCCTTCAGCACCACTAATGGAAAACCCAAAATTCAGCACTCACTGATGGAAAACCCATCCTTGAACACCCACTGAAGGAAAGCCCAACATTCAGCACCCACTGATGGAAAACCCACTGAAGGAAAACCCATCCTTGAGCACACACGGATGGAAAACCCATCCTTGAACACCCACTGAAGGAAAGCCCAACATTCAGCACCCACTGATGGAAAACCCACTGAAGGAAAACCCATCCTTGAGCACACACGGATGGAAAACCCATCCTTGAGCACCCACTGATGCAAAACCCATCCTTCAGCACCCTCACACAGAGCAGCTCTATCCCCTGATGGGAAAAGCAATTTCCCTGGCTGCAGAGCACTGCTCTTAYGAACTACTTTCAGGTTTGGCAACCCCAAGATTTAGGGTGCAGGCGGTGCCATTACTCACCCATTTTTCTCATGAATGTTTAAGGGGAAACRGAATGAATTCCTACCTTTTGTTGCTGTGCTGGAGATATACGACAGTAATTGTGGTCCATAAAGACATCCCTCAGGGACACACTGTGTCATCCCGCCCATCTTTGAGGAGAATTATTTCCCTGATAGAGGGAAAAATCCYGTGATGTAATTGCTCATTCAGTCAGAGGTTAATTTTGTTCCAGGAACCATTGAATAGAGAAAACAGTGTGTGTTTTAAAAAGAGAAAAATWAAACCCCTCCAAACCTGTTGTCTCTACACTTTGCTTTCAAACAGTGGCAATTGAGGAGAAACTCTTTAAAGTCAGRGATTTGGGCTAAAAGCAGCAGTTCAATGCTGCCTCTTTGGCTTCTTTGCAATGAGTAAAACATTATAAAGGTGAGAGAAAGTTTATCAATCCTTATTTATATTTCCACGAAGCCTTTAAGGAAGTGAGTCTCCCCTGAGCAATTGTTAACACTGCAGTGGGTTTCCTTGTGTTCCCAGTTCCCGAGATCATCGATGGCAGGACCTTCACAGCCACGGTGGTGGGGCTGAACCCGTGGGTGGAGTACGAGTTCCGAGTGGTGGCTGCCAACCTGATCGGGATCGGGGAGCCCAGCAGGCCCTCGGAGAAGAGAAGAACTGAAGAAGCTCGTAAGTGATGCTGGGCTGAGGAGCTGAGCGTGAAATCTTTGTGGAATAAACGCTGAGACCCTGGCAGGCGGCTCCTCTGTTCTGCTGGAGCCCATAATGGAACYGAAAGTGAACCAGGAAAATAAGCAAAACCCCGTTTTATGCAGGACAAATGTTTAAACTGAACAATTAGAGACTGAATACACAAGTTAATTGCCATACTTTTCATATACTCTTATTGACATACTTTTAATGTGCTGTTTGTCGTGGCAAATGAGCCATTTGAACAGTTCCTGGCATCAGCAGTGTCCTATGGCTGCACAATTCCATCTCTGTGTGGATTTTGGGTTTCAGAGGTGTCACATCCATCTCCTCCATCTCTTTTCCTGCAGTCCCTGAGGTGACCCCAGCCAATGTCAGCGGTGGTGGAGGCAGCAAGTCAGAGCTGGTCATCACCTGGGAGGTGAGTGTCACCCCAGAATGGTGGAGTTCAGTGGGTTTGCAGTAAAAAAAAAAAACAGATTGTGGGGTAAAAACAGCCCAGCTGGARCAGGAGGAGGTTCCAACCCAAAACTTGGGCAGGGCAGCCAGCAGGGAGGTGCTGGGCAGGGACCACAGGGACTGGGTGGGAGTTGATGCTTTGCCATCAGCTCAGCTCCCCCTGACTCCCAGCACATCCAAATGGCAAAATGTGGATGGCCAGGAGCCAACCAAGGGGTCAGAGGGGCTGGAATATCCTGACCTGGTGGGGAATTGCTGGGACTGGAATATCCTGACCTGGTGGGGAATTGTTGGGACTGGAATATCCTGACCTGGTGGGGAAYTGTTAGGACTGGAATATCCTGACCTGGTGGGGAATTGTTAGGACTGGCCCCAGCTTCRTCCCTCATCCTCCCTGGGATATGAATGAAGCAGCCAACAGCTAARGGCCAGCACGAGAAATGCTGCCTTTCTTTCCCTGCTGCTGATGGCAGCCAGCGAGAGGAGATGCAGAGATGAGAAATGTTTAATATTCCTCCAGGCAGCCGGGGTTAGAACTCRAGTCATTTGTCTGCTCATATTTTCRTGTTGTGATGCGATGCAGCTGGCATATTTCTCCTAATAATGAACTCCACTCGACATGCTAACACTTCCATTTAGCACTGCTTCTGACCAAGCTGGCAGGATGAATCGCCAGAGATATTTTTAAGGTTATTAAAAACCTATAAATGGGTTTTTGTCCTCAGCACACAGCTCCAATGTGCTAAATTTCCTCCTCTGTTGGACTAATTAGTTACGCCGTGTCTCCTAAAGATACTGCAATATGTTTCAAAAGCACACATGGCCAGAACATCAGCCGTTGGTTTGAGATGTAATTTGCTCAAAATATCATTTGTATTTAGATAGAAGAGTGGTTTTACTCCTTTAAATCTCCAGAGGCCCTTTCTTTATGATRTGCTCTGAGCCTTACAATGCAGAGTGGATGCAGTCACCAGCAGAAACCCGAGTTGAAACTACATGGACATCTGTGGGAGAGGGGGCCATAATTATGGATTATTTTAATTATTTTAATACTTGAATCGTTGTATTTAATGCATCTTTTTAGGGGGCTGCAAGCCTGAGAGTGGGAGGTGTCGGTGTGTCCGGGATGTTCTTTGGGGCTCCACGTGGGATTCCAAAGGCAGAGCAGCAGCACGTGTTGGGAAAGCAGGAACCACGTCCTTGCTTCACCCCAGAGWACCTCAGACCTTCACAAAGCTGAAAATTCCATCAGCACTGGAGGCCCCATCTAGTCAGGGATGGCGGGGGGAATAAGGCTTAGGAGAAGAATCTGCTGGAGGTGCTGCTCCCTCTTTGGTGGAGCAGGCAGGGTGGGATGGTTCAGGTGGGATGAGGAGCAGGACCTTGTGCAGCTCTGTCCCCAGTGCTGTGTTTACAGAATCACAAAATCACAAAATCACAGAATCACAGAATTAACCAGGCTGGAAAAGGCCTTTGGGATCACCAAGTCCATCCCCTGAACAAAGAGGATGAGGAGGGATCCCCAGGGTGCAGCTGGGTGCTGAAGCCGCTCTCTGTCCCTGCCCACAGACGGTGCCYGAGGAGCTGCAGAACGGGGGTGGCTTTGGCTACGTGGTGGCGTTCCGGCCCTTGGGCACRGTCAGCTGGATGCAGACGGTGGTGGCCTCGCCCGACGCCGCCCGATACGTGTTCAGGAACGAGAGCCTGCCCCCCTTCTCGCCCTAYGAGGTCAAGGTCGGCGTTTACAACAACAAAGGGGAAGGTTCCTTCAGCCCTGTCACCGTGGTCTACTCAGCAGAGGAAGGTAAAGCCTTCCCCTCCCTACCCCCAAAAGGGTTTGCTCTCCACCTTGACACATCCTTTGATAGCTCAGCCTCGCTCCGATTGATAATAAACGGCGAGCCGTGATTAATTCTTTTCACGGCCATTAAAATAACATTAATCGTAATGAAATCTTTTGATATTAATGGAAAAGTAATATGTAATCTGGAAAAGAATTCCGCGGAGATTCAGCATGAATTAATGGCCACTGATTAGAAAATGTTCCCACTTGTCCTAATTACAGTACATGGTATCCTGGGCTGAGTTTAGTAATGACATCTTATTATTTCTGAGGGAGAGGCCCGGCTCAGCCTGACAGGGCATCGCTTTGGAACGTGGACGTTTGTTTGCTTCTTTCCTTGTGCAATGAAGAAAATAAATCCCTCAATGTTTGGGACTAATTGAACATAGAATTGAAAAGTCTTAACTTTTATTTTTAACTGCACAGAGCCAACGAGAGCCCCGACCACCGTTCTGGCCAGGAGCCTTTCTGCCTCGGACGTTGAAGTTTCGTGGGCACCTCCATGGGAGAGCCAGCACAAAGGAAGGATACAGGGATATGAGGTAT